ACTGACTTCACTGCCACGTAAGGCAGTCCTTATTTCAGCGTGAGTCATCTGCTGTGTGTTCTTCCTGCTTTTTCTTTGGAAAGACACTCCTTCTCAAGAAGCAAGCTAATTAACTTAAATCCACAAATAGATTAACACAAGAAGTGACGAGTATTTTGAAAGAGGGGGTTTCTTTCACTGCTTACGAAGAAAGTACACTTGTTTAGGAACGAATGGCCCAATCTAAAAACTCATCAATCCACCCTGTTGCAATCCCTTAACATTTGTCCCTCTCTCTCATGCCTTTTTCTAGTAAACATTGAAAAGACTATTATGGGCAATACATAAATTATGGAACAGATGCCGCACTCATTTGTTTGTTTAGACAGGCAGTCAACACTTATGTATTCCAATAAGCTTTTGATCCCTGATCCCTTGCAGTTCTCGACTAGTGGTTTCCTTTATTAGAATATTGCATTGTGGGTTGGATCTAATGACATCCATCCACCAGAATAGTTTCCCTGCCTCCCTCCTCCAGTGCCATTTCCTACATGTCTCTGAACACTCTGGAGGGTTTGGGGCTTTCCAAGGGTTTTCAGAGAGGTCAGAGGATGTTGGAAAGGAGGTGGGGAAAAGTCCAGTTGTGTAAAGCAGAAGTCTGCTGGACAGTTATGTCATCCTGCAAATTTTAAAACTGGTTTTACTGTTTGCATCTTTACATATGGTCAAGCAGTGTATCAACTGCTTTGCATACACTCACTCCACAGAAAAAGCTGAATAAGTCTTGATGAAGAAAGATTTTGCGATGAGTTGATTTTGCTTGGATCAAGGTTATATGATGATGGCCGGGATACAAATGCAGTGCCAGCTGAGTTTTTTTATTTGCTCGCCCGAATGTTCAGCTTCCCTCCCACCCTCAGTGCTACTACACAATTTCAAGGAATTTCAAGGAAGCTCCTCCATTTCAGAAGCTGTTCGCTGCATACCCCTGGAGAGCTACTGTGTGGGTGACAGCAGGCCAGCATGTCATTAGATGTGCAGCTCTTTGGATCCTGCATGACAGTACTGGGTGAACGTTCCGCTAGTTCTTTTGAGAGCCATGTTAGAAAGTGGGTTAGCTCTACAGCGTGGCCAAGGCAGTGATGCTGAAAGGGTCCGAGGAAAAAGGGTCCAATCCAGCTCAAGGTAGTCAAGACAGAAGCTCCACTGGAGGAAAAGGGGACTTCAGTGGGTTTGGGATAACCTGCACCTTTGGTTTCAAGTTTAATGTAGTTATGACTTGCTTTAGCTGGATTAGAGTGAAGCACCTTAGGCTGCAATTTGTGTGCTTACCTGGAAGTAAGCCCCACAAAACACATGGAACCCTACTCTATTGGGGTTAGCAGTGTCATTAGCTAGACTTTAAAAATATTCTAGCAAAAAAAGCTACTAACCACAGGCATCTCAACAATATTTGTGAAACAAACCACACTTAGAAAAATGAAAGCCGATTTTTATTGTCTCCACAGCCAATCATTTGACACAAACATGCATACGTAATTTGGCTACGCACACACCACTTTTTTTAAATGTTAGTTATTAAACATACAACATACATCCTTACAAAAATGAGTCAATATGCAAACTTAACTTTTTTAAAACAAACAGTTTTTACTCATTTCTTTTTTTCTTAAAAAAAACTTTGTTTTGGGTACCATTTGTACAAACACAGTTAATTTAAACAAATCTGCTCTTAAGTTTTTCTCATGGTTGCACATAAAAAAGCTGCAATAGAAAATGAAGTCACTGAGGGTTTCTTTCTTTTTAAATAGCAGAAATAGGCAATTTTGCCATGCACAAGAAGCAATATTAAATATTAGTTTTTCAAAAACAAAAAGAAAAAACCACATTTCAAAATATTTAGTTCAAGTCACGGAACTTTCTCCAGGACGGAGAAATCCAAAATGCAATGCAGAATTAGCTGCCACATAGAATGGCCATTCTGAAAAGTAAAAATTACCTTCCAGAGATGATAATTTTCACTGATTTTGGCACAGAAAAGAAGATATCTTACTCTAGAATAAGAACGTGATTTTTTTTTTTTAATGGAAGAGAGGACAAAGGAAAAAAAACTCAAAAGCAAGACTGAACAAGATAGGAGCTGCGATCACTTAAAAATATCTGTGCATTTCAGTCATTTCAGAATACTGTTTACAGCAGGGTATAATTTCCAGCCCCTTCATGGATCACTGCCTTGCCATGGCAAAGGGGCTTGTGTAGCACAATGAAGCTATGAGCTATGCCGTGCAGGGACACCCAAGACGGTCAGGTCATAGCAGAGAGCTCTGACAAAAGGTGATCCACTGGAGAAGGAAATAGCAACCCACTCCAGTATCCTTGCCATGAAAACCCCACGGACAGTATCAACAGGCAAAGAGAGATGATGCCAGCAGATGAGCCCCTCAGGTTGGAAGGTGTCTAATGTGCTACTGGGGAAGAGCAGAGGGGTAATACTAGAATGAAGCTACTGGGTCAAAGCCGAAAGGACACTCAGTTGTGGACATATCTGGTAGTGAAAGGAAAGTCCAATGCTACAAGGAAAATTACAACATAGGAACACGGAATGTAAGATCTATGAATCAAGGTAAGCTGGACGTGGTCAAACATGAGATGACAAGACTGAACATTGACATCTTGGGAATCAGAGAACTAAAATGGGCAGGAATGGGTGAATTTAATTCAGATGACCATCAGGTACACTACTGCAGGCAAGAATTCCTCATAAGAAATGGAGTAGACTTCATAGTCAATAAAAGAGTAGGAAAAGCAGTACTGGGATGCAATCTCCAAAATAATAGAATGATCTCAGTTCGAATCCAAGGAAAACCATTCAACATCACAGTAGTCCAAGTCTATGCCCCAACCACTGGTGCTGAAGAGGCTGAAGTTGACCGGTTCTATGAAGGCCTACAACACCTTCTAGAAATAACACCAAAAATGATGTCCTTATCATCATGGGGGATTGGAATGCTGAAGTAGGAAACCAAAAGATAACCGGAATAACAGGTAAGTTTGGCCTTGGAGTACAAAATGGAGGAGGGCAAAGGCTGGCAGAATTTTGTCAAGAGAACACACTGGTCATAGCAAAGGCTCTTTTCCAACAACCCAAGAGATGACTCTACACATGAAATCAGAAATCAGACTGACTATGTGGTCTGTAGCCAAAGATGGAGAAGCTCTATACAGTCAGTGAAAACAAGACCAGGAGCTGACTGTGGCTCAGATCATTAGCTTCTTGTTGCAAAATTTAGGCTTAAATAGAAAAAAAGTAGAGAAAAGCAGTAGGCCACTTAGGTATGACCTAAATCATATTCCTAATTAATATACAGTAGAGATGACAAATAAATTTAAGGAATTAGATCTGATAGACATAGTGCCTGAAGAACTATGGACGGAGGTTTGCGACATTTTACAAGAGGTAGCAACTAAAACCAACCCAAAGAAAAAGAAATGCCAGAAAGCAAAATGGCTGTCTGAGGAACCTTTACAAATAGCTGAGGAAAGAAGGGAAGCAAAAGGCAAGGGAGAAAGAGATACACCCAACTGAATGCAGAATTCCGGAGAATAGCTAGAAGAGATAAGAATGCCTTCTTAAATGAACAGTGCAAAGAAATAGAAGAAAACAACAGAATAGGGAGGACTAGAGATTTCTTCAAGAAAATTGGAGATATGAAGGGAACGTTTCATGCAAAGATGGGCATGATAAAGGACCAAAATGACATCCTGGAATGTGAAGTCAAAAGAGCCTTAAGAAGTCTTAGCAACAACAAAGCTGATGGAGGTGACAGTATTCCAGCTGAGTTGTTCAAAATCCTAAAAGACAATGCAGTAAAAGTGCTACACTCAATATGCCAGCAAATTTGGAAAACTCAGCAGTGGCCACAGGATTGGAAAAGGTCAGTTTACATTCTGTTCCCAAAGAAGGGCAATGCCAAAGAATGTTCAAACTACCGCACCATTGCCCTCATTTCACATGCTAGCAAAGTGATGCTCAAAATCCTACAAGCTAGGCTCCAGCAGTATGTGGACCGAGAACTACCAGAAGTACAGGCAGGGTTTGGAAGAGGCAGAGGAACTAGAGATCAAATTGCCAACATACAGTGGATTATGAAGAAAGCTAGGGAGTTCCAGAAAAACAGCAACTTCTGCTTCATTGACTATGCTAAAGCCTTTGATTGTGTGGATCACAACAAACTGTGGCAAATTCTTAAAGAGATGGGAGTACCAGACCATCTTATTTGTCTCTTGAGAAACCTGTATGCAGGTCAAGAAGCAACAGTGAAAACTGGACATGGAGCTACTGACTGGTTCAAAATTGGTAAAGGAGTACGGCAAATGGTACCACTCTAATGGCAGAAAGTGAAGAGGAACTAAAGAGTCTCTTGATGTGAGTGAAAGAGGAGAGCGCAAAAGTTGGCTTGAAACTTAACATTAAGAAAACTAAGATCATGGCATCCGGTCGTATCATTTCCAGGCAAACAGATGAGGAAGAAATGGAGGTAGTGACAGATTTCATTTTCCTAGGCTCCAAGATCACTGCAGATGGTGACTGCAGCCAAGAAATTAAGACGCTTGCTCCTTGGGAGGAGAGCTATGGCAAATCTAGACAGCATACTAAAAAGCAGAGACATCACCCTGCCGACAAAAGTTTGTATAGTCAAGGCTATGGTTTTCTCAGTTGCAATGTACGGCTGTGAAAGTTGGACCATAAGGAAGGCTGAGCGACAAAGAATTGAGGCCTTTGAACTGTGGTGCTGGAGGAGACTCCTGCGAGTCCCTTGGACCGCAAGGCGATCAAACCAGTCAGTCCAAGAGGAGATCAACCCTGACTGCTCTTTAGAAGGCCAAGATGAAACTCAAATACTTTGGCCACCTAATGAGAAGGAAGGACTCCCTGGCGAAGACCCTAATGCTGAGAACAACAGATGGCAAAAGAAGGTGGGGACTGCGGAGGATGAGGTGGCTGGATGGAGTCACTGAAGCAGTTGGTGTGAGCTTAGGTGGACTCCGGGGGATGGTGGAGGACAGGAGAGCCTGGAGGAGTGTTGTCCATGGGGTCGCAATGGGTTGGATGCGACTTCATGACTAGCATAGCATAGCATAGCACAATTTCCAGGTAACTGTTATTGCAACATAGTTTTAATTTGCTTGGAGGTAGTCTCATCATTCAAATGTTTTGTTGTGTACCTAAAAGAGAGTTTACAAGAGTGTAAGTTGTTGCCTTGCATTGCATTGACAGATAACACATTCCTTCAAAAGATGGGATTACATGGGCGGAGTCAGCTGGAGCCAAGGGTCATACTAGATGGCCCAGGAAGCCCCTTTTGACTTGCTTTGTTTCTATTTTTCTAATTTTACAGTAGTAGACTCCTTGGAAAGTGAAGTCCCACCAATTTCAATGGGTTTGCTTCAGGTAGGATTAAATTCTGGTTCCAGCTGTTTGTGATAATTGGAATTATGCAGAATCAAATTAATACAGGTTGCAAAATCCTGAATTTCTTGACATGGAACATGGATGGCTTAGGTAACGCATGTTAACATTCTGCACCCAGTTCTTAATCATTAGACTAAGTAAGGTGGTAATAAATGCTTAACAATGGAATTACAGTGTTTCTGGGTGGACTGATTGGCTGAGAATTGCTGATATAAGCGCCGTATTTTATAAGCAGCTCCTTAGGGACCATAGTAAAATACACACATACACACACCAATCAATCCTCCTTTCAATGTCAAAAATGACATAAACAACTCTAAAATACTGTGCGCGCAGTCATTCTGTGCAAGTGGACCTTGCTAACCAGTGCTAAGCACTACTTCTTAAAAAGAAAGAGTTGGAAGTTCCAGTCATTCCCTGTTCAAGGCTTAAGTACCTGAGAGCATTTAGAAGGCCTTCTACGCTGTTTGGAGGCTGGTCTTTGAGAACTTTGATGCATCCTTTCATCTGACAGTTGATAAAGAGGGGAAAAACACAGAAGAATACTTCAGAACAGATCCTGGTTGAATGGAACTACAGCACAGCCTGAAATGTTAGCTTCCAGGAAGGGCCCAGTCCTCATGTGAGTTTTATCATGATTACAGAGCAAACAACAAGATAAAACTACTATTACAGCCATCACAGAAACTCAAAGTGAGACACTGTATACAAGCCCAGCATAGCTGTGAGCCTGAAGTTTCAGAGCACCCAGATTGGGGCTACCTAACTGAGAAACTGGCTCTGAATCAGTCTAACATAAATCAACACTTAAGTGTGCTTCAGAACACATTTGTCTGCCCCTACATGCTTGCACCCCCACCCCACCCAGCAACAAATACACAGAGGAAAAAGGAATAATTTTTGCTACTCAGCCCCCAAACTTACATCTATTTTTGAAGTTTTTGCAAAGGCGCCTACTGGATGCACATGGTCATAGAGAATTATGACACCCACCATCACCCTCAGACAGAATGATACTGTTTCCTCATTTGTGAACCTGCTTCTGTATTCTCTGCAAATAGAACACACAAACGCACACACAGAGGACAGATGGTTACTGAAAGTTGCACTGTAATGGTAAACATCCATATGTAACTTTAGCCATTTAGGTTGCCTGCCTTCTCAAAAAATGGTAACTTTCTCAGAGAAGTATTTCTTCTGTCACACAAATACCAGGCTTATAGGTGGGTGGATAGAATGTAACCTTGCATCCCAAGGGCTGGTGCAAGGAATTTTTTTCCTTCTGCAGGTTCACAGGTTCCAGTTACTGAGCACCAAGTTCAACCAATGTATCAGTTCTTGCCCATAGAACATGGCTTCTGCCTGGCAATTAATCAAAGTTTGTACTAAGCTTCATTATTAGCCAAAGAAAAACTATGCCACGGCGATGAGAAGCCTGGCTCAGAGCGCACTCAGAGCGCGGGCTGGCCAAAGATTCCCAACTCTTTCATTGTTCTGAATTATGCATGAGATAAACCATTTACAAAACTAGAGATGCCTTCTGATACATTCTGCGTTAAAATATTAAACAACGTTCCCCCCAAGAGCCTGCAATGTGATGTGTACCCAATGTTAAGGGCAAACGGAAAATGATGGGACACCCCTGAGAGCAACACTTTCTAAGGAGCAGTGCGGCTACTGGAAGAAGTGGGGAGACACGGCTGCTATCAGCCTTCCCTGTTCTACTTTATCATTGCCCCAATATCGTCAGATGCCAAAATGGTGTTTCTGGCAAAACGGTTTTATGACTGCACAGAACAAAATAAGCAGCTTCCTGCTCCTCTTCAGCACTGCCTGCCACAAAAAAATCTCCCCATCCGGAGTGTTTCCTACTCCACTTTCTCATATAGACCGTGGAGATCTGATGTCAGACCAAAAACAGGATGAATGGGTCATCTTGGGTACCTGAGGGCTCCCACCCCATCATTCAAAATGAAACAGGGGAGGGGAGGGGATGGGGTGACACGGCTGCTATCAGCCTTCC